GGTGACAGCTCTTGCATAAGAAGCTCCTGATGGGTAGTAATTAATTAGTCTAACACAGACAATTCACTTTTCTTTTGTTTAGGATAATTAGCGAACAGAATGACACCTGCCAAAACCAAGCGGTTTTCCATCCGCGCGGGTGCTGCGCGTTGCCAGTTTGGCTCTTCTTGAAAGGAAATTATTTTCGGGGGGCCTTTTGCTCTTCCTGGGGCTGCGTGCCAGCGGCGCTGGGCCCCATTGTGAGAGCCACAATGCTGCCACCGAGTCTTTGTGAGCGGCAGCATCTGGCCACTGGGTCAACTGCTGAAACCTCAGTGGTTTATTGTTGCGCGGCGGAAAAATCTGTATGCGCAGCAGGGCCTACGGATTTCACTCCAACCTTGACAAAATGAGCTCCTGTTGCTTCCCCACCAGAAGGAAGGCTGGAGGAACGGGCTCCTTCCTCTCGCAGAGGTTCACACCAGAAACCTGCACCCTGATTGCTTTTTCTGCGCTGGGGAACACAGAAACGGGGATATCCACAGCAAAATCAGTCGGGGTAACTAGCTGACATGTGTATTGCTCAGTTCTGCGTTTTTAAATCACCTCCCAACACAGCCCGGGGTGCTGGGGGGCTCCCTCGCTTGGCTCGTGGGCAACTCAGTGTCCACCAGGACCCCCAGGCTCTGCTCCCCAGCCTGTCCTGGTGCTCGTGCTGGGGGGCAGCTCCTCCCAGGGCAGCACTTTTGCATTTTGTTGAACTTCACGAGGTTCCTGTTGTCCCTCAAGCAGGGCTGGTCTCCACTTTCACACCCAGAGCCAAGATTTATTCCCTGATTGTGCCAAGAGGGGTGCTGGGGGGTAATCCCACAATGCCAGCACGCCGCAGCCTGTTTATCCTACTACATGATGAGTAAAAACCTGCCTAAGTTTACACTCATTGGCTGGTAATTACCATTCCACTTGCTGTGAGTTAGCTCTGTTTAAATGAGCCTCACCTGCTGTGTAAATTAACACGGGGGAGGGGGGGGGGCGGGCAGG